TTCATTAGAAATCTAATAGATGGAGGTTGTGGCTTTGCTTGTTGAAAGTATAAAATTCCTTTAACGATAGATTTTTTGAAGGGCATGATAGCCAGTGCAAAATAAAAGGTGTTGAAGTGATTCGTTAAGTGGCTGAGTTCTTAGCTTTGGGGAGTATATAAGGTAATACTTCGTAACTTTAGCTTGGAGATTGGCTTCTACTTATACAACTAGTGGTTGCCGATTTCATAGTTACCTCGGACGCGTGGTGGGAAAAAATGATAATCGAAATTGAATATTGGTATTAAGATTAACCGGCGATACCGGCTTTAAATCGTTTTTAGCATAAACTTGTCGCTCTACTTTCTTTGGACGTCTCGAAATGGACGAAATTGGAAAGGAGGACGGCCACTCCGCCGCTTAAATCGGTCTTTGAGGTTTGGCGTAATGAATTAATGGTTATAAAGCGCTTGCTGGCATTCGCTATCCTGGCGTATTTCTATGTGTTTTATTGCTTTGGAGGTATGAGTGAAAAAAAATGTTGTTGAGGAATCTTGAAAGTTAAATGAGCTTAATAATCTTTATGAAACGCGTTAGTCGTACTTCCTCCTGTGTATGGTGTGGCCTGTGCTTTATCTGTACAGGAAATAGCCTAGGACCCCTGTCTCCTTTGTCAGATGAACTTCTTAGTCTTATGAATTTGCACGCCTCGGCTAGGAGCAGTGGCTCTGTCAGCTCTGATGGCCTATCCGCTCCTATTGCTTCCAAACTGCTCTCCTCCGAGGGTCCGCTGAGTCAATTAGCCCCCATTCCCTGTGTCCTGTGTCAAGAAGGAGCCAATGCTATTGATCGCTGGCTCTCGTATTGTCCGGTGGTACAAAGTGCTTGGTTAGTGCTCTGGAAAGGTTGCCCGCCACCTATTGATTGGCGGCGGACACCGGAACGGCGCACAGGAGTTGCATTATGCTATCTGCTCTTCCACACACGACGTATCGTTACAGAACATGGGGGCCTCCGACCGACTATTGAGTGTCTTAAAGTACGTTCTGCCCAGCGACATGTTGTGGATTTGTGTTAGCGAATTTATCATTCCTTGCCGGCCACCCTCTTGCCCTTTTTTCGGGCACCACCTGTACACCAGGACTTGCCGTGCACTAGCACCACCCAGGTCCGGGTGCAGAGGTTCCCTCAAACGCAAATTGATTCTGCCCTACTCCCTGACAAAGGGCTTTGTACAAATCGTGCCTTTAGCAAACATGACACCATTGCCACTTTTGGGTCGGCGGATGTGCGACTGCGCCTGCTCCTCACGCAATACAGACGGCTCCCCTTTCCTGCCGCCACTGCCGCCCTGGCTCCATATACTTGTCATTGTGGAGCCACGCATATGAAGCTACAAGCCACGGACGATATCCCAGACAATGCTATTCTCCTCCTTGGCGAAGCCTTGGATTGGAGAGGCTCCCTGGTTCAGTTCGATGGCTCGGCTCATAAGCGCACTCAGACAGGAGGGGCCGGAGTTAGCCTCCTGCAGGTCACACAAGAAGCCACAACCCTGGTCCGATGGAAATCCATACCGCTTGTTCCATGTGCGGATAATGTCATGGCAGAGGCTCACGCATGCTTAGCAGCGGTACAACTTGCCATTGAGTATGACAGACATTGCCTGGAGCGAGGAATGTCACAAGATGGAATTGTAATACAGGGTGATATCCTTCCACTCCTCAATTACCTACAAGGCAAAGGAAGAGTTAAACGGCTTGCTGTAGTTCGCATATTAGAGGACTGCTAGCGGCTACTCTCTTGTGCCCCTTTCATTTTCCAGTTGGTATATCTGCCTCGCGAATGCAACAAACTTGCTGACCACTTTGCTGGGGTAGCGAGTGCGAAAGCAAAGTTGCATGTCGACCAGCCGCTTGTTGTCTCTACCCATCGGGCGCTGCCGCCATATCACCTAGTTCAGAAACTTGGTTTCGTGATAGAACATGGCATTCTTCAACCAATGCCTGCTCTTGTGCTCACTGAATGTCCGACAGTTGCACCTGAGGAGCTAGCTGTGCTGCTCTCTCAGATGATACACAACATACGTGTGGTCCAAGACTACCTTGCCACTGCTAGATGCAGTGAAGGTGGACTAGCCATAGGCTACAAACCATCCTCTGATGATGGGTGTGGACGATTTTATGCTATCGGATCAGCAGCTCAGCAGCTCCCCCGTCAAGCCAGGCTTCTCTTGTTTGGCGATGACCACTGCGAAATTGATATTAGTGGAGCACATTATGAACTTACACGGAGATAGTGCGCCCAAGCGGGAGTTCATGCTTCCCTGCGTCCCATTCATCTCGTTAGGGACTGGCTGCGAACTGTGCCAATGCCTACCGAAAGCCAAGCTATCCCGGATGACTTTGATGCGTTTATCAAGAGATGGCCCCTCATTGTCATTAACAGCGACTCTCCACAAGAAGCGCTTGCCTTCCTCCCACGTCAGCTACCCTATCTACTTGGCCACCTACCGCCCGAACTCACGCGGTTTGCATATGAGCTCCATGCCGCTAGTAGGTATGTCACGCACCGCCCACCGTCCTGGTGTCCTGTCCGTGTGCTAGACCGGAGCCGAGCTGCCCCGTTTCGCTTCTATGAAACCTTGGAGCAGCAACTAGCCTGGGCTGCCTATAACTTTCTCCAGCCTTTGGTTGGATTCCGCTCAGTATATGGTTGCATGATGGCTTCTGGGCCGCACCTTGCCCTGCGGAAGAGCACTTTACACAATTGCATCGTCTCCTTTGTGATCGCTATAGTCTCTCTCCACATGACCCTCCGCTCTTTCGCTGTGAGTCATTACGGCCTAAGAGTGAGGCCTTTAAGAGAGAACTTGTCGCTCTGTCTGTGTCGTTTCATAAGCGATGTAAGCTTACCGCGGGCACTCCCTGCCAACATCCGCTCCCGCCACATGCTGCCCTCCGCCGGAAGCGTACCTATCAGGCGGACGGCATTCAGGCTCAACGGCTGTTAGAAGAGCGGCTTGCTAAGCGGGCCAGAATTGTCAGCTCTGCTAAAAGGCGACGCCTCAATTAGCTCAGTGACCCTGGCTCCTTCTAACTGATAGGCTACTTGTGTTCCTAGAATTGCATTCTTGTTGCTTGTTGCTTGAAACGGCTTGTTGCCTCGTGTCAAACAGTATTCTCAGCGTGATGGGGTTGCTTCTTGGCATCAGAGGCCATTTGGCTCGAGCCAACTGTACATCTAGGAGCAGTTCTCGTGACAGTTGGCCAACGGATACTTGCATCTGCGACTCACATGTCAGAGCAGGCGTGCCAGTCGCCTTTCCTCTCATTGCACATACTGCCGCCGTGGACCCGAGTGGTGGAATGTGATCCTGAATTGTTTTGAACATTACGGAGCATCTTCAGGAAATAGCTACCAGACGTCATCGTCTTTACCTCATTCGTTGCGCGTTCCGGCTTCAAGGCCAATACTATCATCTCCGCATTGCCGGATTGTTGCCTGCGAGGAACAAGATGTTGGGTCGCTATCGTGCGATTGACCCCTCATGTTATCGCCTTGTGCACATACCGCAGATCCTTCGTCGTTGGGCTGCTCACTTGCAGGATAACACTACTGTATATCCTTTTGCTTCTGACAGAGATGGAGTGTTCCTCTCACGGAGTGGCATCATCTTCGTTGGAAACACAGTTGATCAACGGTACGTCCTGCATCAACACTTGTTCAATCTCGGCCTTGCGGGACCGACCGCACCAATGTTGCAGTGGGCGGGGCATCTCCAAGAGGGACCGCTGAATACTCATGTCCTCCCCTTTCACTCATTGGTCGTTCTCCCGGCCGAGCTGCTTGCCATACCAGTGCCGAACACCAGTTGGGCCTTTGAAGAGGAGCCCGTCATGTCCCTCAGTGAATGGGAAGAATTTCGAGATCCACGTCCACGGTTATCCTCACGACCACCGAAGGGAACCTGAATTTCTTCTCTCAACTGGCTGCCTCTGCGATTGGTAGAGCCATGCCAGCGGTAGCTGGCATCTGGCTTATGGGCCGACTACTGGCTAGTCGTCTGTGCGGGTGGCCACCTGGGCCTGTGCAGCAGCCTAGTCCCTTGCAAGCGCAACTGGCAATGCCCTCTCTCTGTAACCATGCCAGTTGGACCGGACCAACACAGGGCACAGAGATGGGGGCCAGCAGCAGCCGACCAAGTGTGCAGAGCAGCAGTACAGAACTTCGAGTCGCCCCTCCTAAGGCAAGGGGCGCCCTGGCATCTTTGTTGTACGCCTTCACGGAACTGGGTTGGGCGTCAATCCCCACGCACATTTCGACAGCAATAAAGGTGCACCGACCATCTGTCCCCATCCGCGGGTGTATACCCAAAGGACACTTGGCGTACCACCTAACCAACTAAAGTGGGTTACCTTGTAGATTCTATGCTTTTCACTGTGTTTCGTTTTTTGTTTGCAGTTGGCTCAAGGGAGGTCAATCTCCCAGGAGAGTAAGAATAGAGTAAGGAGCTTTCTGCCCCTGCCAAGTGTGGCATTTGCTTGTGGGGCTGGCACCCGTGTGCTGGTCCTTGTAGCAATTGGTGCCCGAGCCTTCCCTCTCTCATGGCAAAGAGAACTGCGAACGCACCCCTGGAGATTAGCACACATGGCGTATCGCTCACGGACTATGCGCAAGCAATCTGTTTGCAGGAACATTTGGAAGTGAGCCTCGTCCGCCTGTCGGTCACGGTGCACCAGCTCACCTTTCCTCTTTGTCTGGTTGCTGCGAGTGGTCTACGCCCTCACGCGCGACCGCGCCTTGGAGGCATACCTGCATGGCCACTACGGCAGGTTCCAAGTATCCTCGACAGATGCAGTGTGGATATGCCCAGCGGCCTCACATTATATCCTTTTGCTGATGACCCTCATATCACCCAAGAGGGTTTTATCCTACATGGTTCCAACTCCGAGATTCGGGCCAGGGTTTATCGCTTCCTACTCCAGCGGGAAATCCCAAGCAATGTAGC